TTTTATTTTATTATTTTATTTTATTTTATTTTATTTTATTTTAGATTGGACACATTTGAATGCCCAAATTGTTAACTAGTGAATTCAGTATATAACCTTATTCTCACGTTTTCTTTGCAGTTTGGAAAATCCAGATATGGAGATTGTGACCCAATTTGATGACCAGCAATATCACATGGACAAAACTAGCGACTACCTACTGTCATCTCTCAGGTAAATCCTTTTCTATCAACATAAGCACATTCAGCGCATGCTTTTGCTTCAACGAACATAAAATATCCAGCTTTGAGGCTAAACAATGTGTCATTTTCATTTGCAGGAAGGTGGTTGAAGAAAACCTCGTGACAGCCTCACGATCGGCTTCAACCAAGAAGAAATCCAGACTCAGGAATCTCTTGATCAGTTAGAGAGAGAGATGAGGTGACGGAGCGCCTGAACAAACCCAGTCCTGGATGAAGGGGATCTGCCTCGTGAGACAGACAGAGCTGAAGTGCTGAAGAACAAAGCCTCAGTTACATCAGTTCAAGAGGAGCAGAAACGTCTGTTCGCCAGAGTAAAAGATGATTTAGTTGGTGAAAAGAAGAACAGATCACCTGCTGCACCAGTGAAATGGTGATATTTCCAAAAACAGTAGAAGTACTGTAAACATAGTTTAACATTACCATCTGAGAAGACATGCAGGTTAGGGTGGAAAAGATGAGAGAAATTAAAAATAAACCCCCTTTACCCTCTGCCTGAAAGACTTTAGATACTGTATAATCTCTATTATTGACACGGAATATTTTATTTATTTTTATTTATTAGGTTTTCTCTGTATCAGAGCTTCATTTTATTATTTATTTATTTATTTAACTTTTATTTGGAAATGAATGTGTCTGATGCTTTCTATGATCAGCATGCTCAAGAAATTGTCTAAATGTTAAAAAAAACTGAAAAGGAAAAAAAGTTCTAGACATGAGGAATGTTTATCTGTTTTCTATTTTATGACTCTTCCTTCCCTCCATTTTTCCTCCAGTGAAGCCGGAAGTATCTATTGCATACTTTCAGTGGAGTGTTTTTATTGTTCGGATACCAGCAGGTTTCAGTAGCTCAAAGCTTGCCAGAAAATGCTGTTATTGTTCTCCTAAAGTACAAACGGGCTGCTACTGTCTGTCGGCTCCATTATAGAAACACTGTAGTGATATGTAGAGTTCCCAATACTGCCTCAGTTAAGTGCAATCTGTTCATGACTACCTGTGTAAACTTAATTGTACATCCAGAGTTTGGACTATTGTCATATATGCATTTAATTATGCTGTACCTGTTCTTGTTTTCTTCCTGTGACGAAAAGGACTATTAGTTACTCACAGATACTTGAATGTTTAATCTCGAATTGCTAACGTCCAGCGGTCAGTTTGTTAATTTAATTTATTTAATGAAATCTATTTTTGTATTATTGTATCTATTAATAAACAAATAATATACTACCGGATACCAAAGAAGTCTTTGTTAAATTACTTAACAGTTTTTGGTACTACATGGTCGTTGACTCAATCATGTTCAGATGAGTAAAATAAATATCACATTACGCTTCTTGTTAAACATTAAACTCCTCAGCAATATAAATCAACAGTACATTACACTTTACAAACCAACAACAAAACCAAATCTAACACAATCCCATAATGAGCAACGACGAATGCATAATTTGTTTGATCCACTGTGTGGGCTGTAAATGTATGAGCAATACACTTTCGAATATGAAGGCGCTGTGTGCTCTATTAAGTGTTTTCTGGGGTGTGTAAAAAATTATGTGTTATTATTAATGTCACCAAAATCACATAAGGCACATTTATGGAAC